ATTAAGCTTTGGCACATAATCATCCCGCACTATTTTTGCTAAGGACATGAATAATACCTCAGATTGTCCAATAATAATACATTGTCCAATCAGCAATAAGATGTTCTTTTACTTGTATTTATTTTTGATGCCAGATAACAAAATCATTGAAGGGGACACACAAGCCATTTCTATGGACCACAACATCAAAGACTTAGAGGTTGGTTCTTTTATTTTTAGCCACTGTCTTGCAACCATCCAAAACACCTTAGCAGCTATCTTGCAATGCCCTAGCAACGACTTAGTTTACCATAGCAACCACATAGGAGCATGCTAAAAAGCACTCTGAATACCTTAAAACCATAGCATTGAATTTTGCATGAGCAAGTTCACTCATATTTTATGCATAATGTAAAGATTTAACACGTGGTAACACTTTACAATAAGGTCCTTTTAGTGAACAATAGTTAATGTATTAACTAACATGAACAACGAGCAATATATTTGCTACAATGTTTATCAATCTTTAAAAATTAACATTAAAAACACTTTTAGTTCATGTTAGCTGAGGTCCAACAAATAATATTTACAGATACAACTTTTGATTTTAATAATGTATTTGTAAATGTTGAAATTAACATTAAGTGAAAGTAACGTGTGAAGTGTGGAAAAAATATAATGTGTGTGTGTGCGTGTGTGTCTCAAATTATGTCAAATATCACATATTTGAAACTTTTTAGTAATTTTTATTCAATTTGTATATCTTCTGTATTATTATTGAAAATCCTGAAAATGGTTCACCTCTAACAGACAGAAGTGAGTAATGGCTCATTATGAAATCATTTTGAAGAGTTTCCTTCATCTGACCTTCACTTTTTTCAGCACTGAACCTATTTTCCTGTTTTATCTGTTATCGTATTGGTCAGCATTGGCCCTCTGTTCCTGTGGTTTATTAAAGGACCACAACCTTTTATTTGAAGTAAAGTTTTTTTTTCTTCTGTTAACTTCAGATCTCATGGAGCATAAAGTCTTTGCTCTGTTCTCTCAGTGTACTGTATCATCAAGGGCAAATCCTGTAATGTTCTCCTGGAGTCTCCCTTCAATTTCACACTTCATTTCCTGTTGAGCTGACAGCCGTAAATACCACTGTCTGTGACACCCTGGAAAATGAAATTCCATGTTAACAAAAGAAATGTCTTCTTGATGTAGTGCCATAATAAGGAACTGTCTTTAAGTTAATATTAACTTGCAACTGAGTTCAACAGCCAGACCAAAATAGAGTACCAAGCCCATTCATATTTCAGCAGTCAATATATATATATATATATATATATATATACACATGTCTTAATCATTATTTTCAAATATGTTTTAAGGTATTTATTTTACAAATAAATGATTTATTAATTCATACTGTAAAAATCATTGAGTAATTGGAGTCGCACCACATGACTATTAACAACCAGAGCTAACCGTGACTTATCATTAAAGGACAAATATTACATTTTGACTTTTTTTTCACACTTTATTTGCACCACATGACTATGTTAGTGCTTAATTTGGTGTAATTTTTTTTTTTTTTTAATTGCTTATAACATTTTAACGGAAGTTAATCATTTTTCCCCCTAAGAAATAATTAAAAAAAATGCAAAACCATTTAGTTTTTTTTTTCCCTTTTCAATAATTAATTCATTAATTTATTATTATATATTTTTTTATTTTTTTAGGTTAGAACTGAACAGTTGTATCACCCTGACATTATTTTTTAATCATGATTAGGTACATTTTCCACCCAAATTCTTATTACTGTAATGCGAAAAAAATTGTAATGCAATAATAATTAAACATAATTATATATCATAATAGTATTTGTTGTACTGTCTTTAATTTATGCTGATAAAAATTGTTACAGTATTTTTTTACTTTTTAAATATTAATCTAATAATAATTAGAAAAAAATCTAATAATAATCTAATGAATCATAACCGTTGAAAATAATGGGGCTTACAAAAAACCTCAAGTACAGTAATGAGAATTTGGGTGGAAAATGTCATGATATCTCTTAATGATCCTAAAATAGAATTAAGTTTAATAAGTAAAATATTAATACTTTAATTAAGGGGTGAAACGTTAAGACTCATCGCAAATGTTGGAGGGAGATTAACCACCACTGTATGCTGCTACGCTTATGAACATAATGATAATAAAGTGGCATGAAATTAGATAACAGATCAGATTGCTTTTTTGGCTGAATGTGATAAGCACACAACTTTTTATATATGGCCAGAGGGGGTTTTAAACTCTCAGGGCATTTAAACTTAAAGTGATTATTGTACGGTCCAATCTCCAGCGGTTTAATAGCCTGTCAGAGAGAGTTACTGCCGTGCTTGAATGACACTATTCTGGGATGCAAATGGTGGAGCGCAAAAGAGAGCGAGAGAAAGGGGGGAAGACCTCAGGCTTTGTGGAGGACACGTATGCTTGTGTGCACAAACACACACGTAACATGCCTCATCTGGCCCCCCCGGTGAGAGTGCTGGGGCTCAGCTGTTTAGTTCAATCAGTGAAGGAGGCTCTTTTTATCACAGATACACATAACTACTGGGAATACACCTGCTGAGGCCTCTTTACACTCAACATCCTCATGTCAGTTTTTTTGCTTCCTTATTTTTACATGATTTTAGACAGTGATCGGCATCAAGAATATAAAGGTTTGGATGTTTTCTTTAAAAAAAATTGTGAGGTTCTTCTCCATGCAAAACTCAATACCACCATGCTAGAATGTTTTGTTTGGTCACTAGGTTGTTACTAAGTGGTTGCTTGGGTGTTGCTATGGTATGTGGTTGTTAGGATGCACTGGGTGGTCACTAGGGTGTTACTAGGTAGTTGCTGGAGTGTTTTGGGTGGTCGTTATGGTGTTGCTACGTGGTTGCTTTGGTATGTGGTTGCCAGGGTATTCTGGGTGGTTGCTAGGGTGTTCTTGTTGGTTGCTAGGTGGTCGCTTGGATGTTGCTATGGTATATTGGTGCTAGGGTGTGCTGGGTGTTTGTTAGGTTGTTGCTAAATTATGTTTTCGCAAGGGGTGTTCTGGTTGTTACTAGAGTCTTACTAGGTGGTTGCTAGGGTGTTTTGGGTGGTCGTTATGGTGTTGCTAGGTGGTTGCTTAGGGTGTTGCTTTGGTATGTGATTCTGTGTTTGTTGCTAGGTTGTTCTGAATGGTCACTTGGGTGTTCTAGGTGGTCGCTAGGTTGTTGCTAAGGTATGTGTTTGCAAGGGTGTTCTGGGAGGTCACTGAGGTGTGTGGTTGCTAGGGTATTCTGGGTCATTGCTAGGGTGTTGCCATGGTATGTAGTTGCTAGGGTGTTCTGGGTGGTTGCTATGGTTTTGCTATGGTATTTGGTTGCTAGGGTGTATTGTTGGTGACTAGGGTCTTACTAGGTGGTTGCTTGGGTGTTTGTATGTGGCTACTTGGGTGTTCTAGATAGATGTTTGTATTTTGCTATAGTATATGGTTGCTAAAGTGTTCTGGGTCGTCCCAAGTTTGTGTCTAGGAGGTTGCTAGGGTATTCTGGGTGGTTGCTAGGGTGTTGCTGTGGTATGTGGTTACTAGGGTGTTCTGGGTGGTTGATTGGGTGTTGTTTTTTTTAAATTTTTTATAAATCCTGTTTTATAAATACATTTTTATTTTACCTTCACAAGTACAACCAGGAAGTTCAGATTAGTTTAGCACAAGACATCAGTTTCTACATTAAGCCATTAAATGATTCTGCCTATAGTTTATATATTTTTTCAGATGAATTCATTACATTATGCAGCATAAAGTGGTAATGTTGTGTTCATCAAAATATGTTCTGTTTTTTTTTCATGTGAAACACAGAGAAATCGTGCAGCTCTGAGGCTCTGTGGGTTGTTCTGGCTAAATCCCAACCATATGGGACCGCTGTAGATCTGAAACTAGCAGACTCACTCAGTGATTCTTCAGGGGCCAAATGCTTCTCTGTTGTACTCTGGTGCTTGATAAAACAAATATTTAATCTTCCACATTTGTCTTTTTGAGCTTAGATGTTCAAATATTGTTTATGAGGGATGTGGAAAGATTGTTTTGTTTTGGTTTGCTGTTTGTAATAGAAGAGGCTCAGCTGTGTGACTTTAAATGTCAGCTCTGTTGAAAAGGCCTGTTGCACAACCAGGTGTCAGGTTTGTGATTAATAAAAAAATATTATTATTAATATTTTATGTTTCAGTTTAATCGTAACTCCTTTTTTATCTACATCATCTTTGAGGCAGAGCCTGTGTGAAATGAATTCTATTCTTCTGGAGGACAGAAGACAACGAGTGCAGTGCTAAAAAGAGGCGGAGCTACATAATGTTTATGAAAATGATCAATTAATGTTGGATAACCAGAAAGTGTCCAAGACTTTAAGAATAAGAATGGTGTACTAAAAACTGAAAAGTTGTCCTTTGCGTTTTTGAAAAGTTTTGTGTACAGATGACAACATTGTCAAAACGATCCACGTTCACAAGGATCCACGAAAATGACTAAAACCACTGTATTATGAATGCCAGGTCAGTAGTTAGTGATGCCACTTTATAAAGAAACACTATGCACCTGTGCACTTAACTATACATAATGTGCATGCGCATGACATCACCATTTTTACAAATTCACCTTTTTTTTTGTAGGTATTGGTATATAACGCGCATTTTCCCCCCAAAATGCTGCTCTCGTGTAAATGAACAGACAAAACGCATAAAGTTTTCCATTTGTAGTTGAAAACTGACTTGTCTGAATGTCTCGTTTTTCTTTTTGAACAGTTAATCTATTATTTTATCATTTAAAACCTAGCAAACATGTTTTGCTTGAAAAGTGTGCGTGGTTTGATATTTTGTTGTAATGCAGTGACATTCACAGATTTTTAAGTGTAGCTGAAGAGTCTCAAATACCTTTCTATATCGAATGAAGTACTTCAGACTGTTGATTCCATCAAATGAATATATAGGCAATATAAGACAAAAATATCTGTCTGACTATTTATATGGTCAAAGAGCAAGAAAGATTTAGTTTCCACATAGTTCTCACATCTGGCACAACAACAGCTAAACTGTAAATACATGATGGACACCAGAAAACAGCTTGATTCATATCTGCCAGATAGCAGAGGGCAGTTGTGTCATAGATGATCAGCTCATGTCCAACAGTTCAGTTCTCTTCGTATTGCTTTCTTCATATTAAATGTGAATCTGCAGAATTTACCCAAAAAAGGCCACTGTTGCGGTTCACTGTGAATCAGCCAGACGTAAATGAGAAGTGGCAGTAGAGATATGCGGGCATCTTCTGTGTTGTTTGAAGGTGAGTTCTGTTAGCAGAAAGGTTAACGGCCTCCGTTTCTATTGGTCATCCATCCTAGGCACTGTGTGGATCACCCCCGGAGCCTGCAGAAACAGACACACGCAAACGTATTACGCTGCTGGAATGTGACAGATGAAATGAAGTAGTTTACTCACACGCTCAAGTGAGAGGGAAGCACATCTTTCAAGCTGAAAGACTTTTATATATTATACTGCCTACTTGAGCACAGCTCTGCATTACAATGTGTCTCTCTGTCATGATTATCTCACTCTCCCTTTCAGTCGACCTCTGTCTCCGGCAAATTAATGAACTGAAGCAGACGCGGCACCTCCGGTGACAATGATAGAACAGTTATATCACTCAAGAGCGAGTGCGAGATGACTAGAGGAGATTATTAAGATATTGTGAGTGCAAACACATGCACTTAAAATGAATACGGTCGTAAACTGCTCCAGTTACCCAACAGTTTTAAGAATCAAGGCAGCATTACAAGCATAAATGAAAAGAATCTGCTCTATTTGCTGGAGCCTTCAAGGTTAAGTAAACAAAAACTTTAGTGTATGCATAATCATTTGTGAAAGGGCATCAATTTATATTTGTTTTCATATTATAAGAGGAAAAATGTCTTGAAATCATACAGCTGAAGGCCGTAATTTGTGCCAGAACAGGTCGGATATGAATACAGCACCTCCGGAATTTGATCTGATCTGATCTGAGTTTATTCCTATGAAAGGCATTTAAGGACAAAACTTGGATTCAAACTTGAAATGGCCATATCTCTGACATGTTCGGTTTGTATAGCAGGAGGAAAGCCCTTTTTTTTTTTTTTAAATTTTAGCACCATCTGAGATGTGTTTCCCTAAAATGACGATATATTAATCTAATGTGAAATTTTTTTTTTGCTCTGCATGGCAAAGGGCATTTCATCTGCAAATCAATGCCATGCATAAACACACTTCATTCACAACAATACAGTTTCATGCCAAATAATCAATTTATCTTCCACAACAGAAATGCCAATATAGCAGCATCCATCTGGACAGAAATAAAAAAACAGTTATATGCCCTATATATTTTATGCTTTTTATTACCTCTTATTGTGTAAAATGAGTGTATTTAAAAAAAAAAAAAAAAAAAGGGATTTTTTGTTTGAATTTAGGGATAAAATTTTACTTTGAAATTTGAGACTTTCAGAAAGGAATTGTTTTAAAAAAAAAAAAAAAAAAAGGGATATTTAAAACTGATCAAAAGTGCCAGTCAAGACATTTATAATGTTAGAAATGATTTCTATTTTAAATAAATGCTGTTCTTTTGAACTTTATATGTCAGCAAAGTATCCTGAAAATAAACTTATCAGAGTTTCCACAAAAAAATATTAAGTAGCACAACTGTTTTCAAAATGTATAATTATAAGAAATGTTTCTTGAGCAGCAAATCAGCATATTAGAATGATTTCTGAAAGATCATGTGACACTGAGGACTGGAGTAATGATGCTGAAAATTCAGCTTTGAACCACAGGTTATATAAAATTTATAAATTACATTTTCAAATATATTAAAATAAAAACAGTTATTAGTTAAAAAACTGTATTTTTTATCAACTAAGAGACTTTTTTCAAAAACATTTAAAAAATCTGACCTCAAATGTTTGAACGGTAGTTTAAGTGCTATAGGTGCATTAAATTCTGCAGAGTTAATGATTTTCTTTTGATTTAACAGCATATGTGAACAATTACGGTTAAACATTTATGCTAAGAATCAACTGCATTTTAGTGCTCAACAATAATATTGGGCAGCAAAATAATATCTAGAAAAAAATGCCTTTTTTTTTAACTTTCTAAATCCCATTGTCTTCATTGTTTTGGAGTATGTCACAAGTGTGTTTCAGTTTGTCATATTAACCTTATATCCATCATCAGCAAACTCCAGAATTTCAGTGAACAGACGTCCATGTTGCTTCCTTGAAAGAAACACAAAAAGGCAGTTAACTTTTTTGCAGAAGACACAGTTATAAACACCCTTTAGGAAAGAGTTAATGGACTTGTGAGTCTTAGGATGAAGATGTCAACCTGAATTTTAAGAGATGTCGTGCAAGCCACAACACCTCAGACAGCAAGCTCTCTGTGTTAACACCTCGGATATAACAGCTAGCAAATGTGAGAGTCAGTGCAGGCACCAAACGAACACACATACACTATATTAAGAACTCATCCTTCACAGCTGATCATAGACGAGCCCTTGGTAGTCAGAGGAATGCTTGAATGTTTCAGAGAGATGGAAAAACAGTTTAAAGATCTGAATATGGAGGGAACAATAAATTGGGCAGAAATTAGTTTGTAGATTTTTTTCTACATGCATTAGACAAGGCGTTTTCAAGCTGGGGTCCAGGGACAGACAGGGGGCCACAAGGAAATGCTAGGGGGTCTGTAAATAAATACGATTTTTGATTAAAATACGTAAATAAAGTAAATTAATGAATATGATTATAAAGTAAATTAATTAATTAATTTAACAGTTCAGTACAATAATGAATACAAAAATTGTAATAATGTAGTCTAATAAAGTTAATTTAATAAGTTAATTATTTTCCAAATAATACTTTATACATATTAATACTATTATTTTTCACACTATAAAATTTTTTATACAACAAATTATATAAATGCCTTTAACATTTCAGCATGGGGTCCCTTGCATGAGGATGATGATAGCCTATTTGGGGGTCCAATGCATCTAAAAGTTTGAAAACTAGACAAGCAAAAGCTTTTAGTGAGGGGAAAAAAATGTTGCATCCAAATAGCATTGTAGACATGATAAATTAATTTATGTTCTTTCCAGGGTCTAGATGGCCAAAGTTAAACCCGGCTTTCAAAGATATGCACAGGACTTCTTTGTCATCAGAAGAGCGATTTTTCTTTTGCAAGGATGCGTCACTTGATGGCAGCACTGAGCAACAAGTCAGCAAGTACCTATTTGTTTCATACCAGTCAAACAAGCATTACATATCTGGTGTTATGAAAGTGTACAAGTAATTAGACTAAATTGAGCAATAAATTACATGCAGATTTGTTTTGATTAAAAAAATGTTTGTACTTGTTTTCTTTATGAATTAATTTAATAACAGCCATGCTTGTCTTCTGTTGCTGCTCTATTTCTAGGTAGTGTAAAACGACGACTAGGGCGGAAAGCGCAGACGTCTGTGACTGAACCGCACAGATCTACAGGTTGAAAATGATTCTCTCTGACTGAGCGCTTGGAACTTGTCTCTAAAACACCCGTCAACGGGAGCGTCAGCGTGAAACCTCCGGTAATCAGCTCACGCTGCACCTCGCGTCCTGTTTTCTCCACAGGAGAGCCAAATAGGGAACGTCTGAGTGAGCCCATAACCTATACACAATCTCGCTTTGACAGCTACAAAGAAAAAACACCCGAGCCAATAACAATCCACCACAACCTACTTCGCGCACTGAAGCCGTGCATGCATTTTGCAAGCACAGCATGCTTTTCATCTGTCTGTCTGTCGGTCCGTCTTGTCAATATCAGTCATTTTCCACATGCAACACATTCAGTCATTTGTAAAAGATTTAAAAAAGGGAAATATGTGGGAGTGCATCAGCTCTAGATGGTTTGCAAACCCATGGTTATGCAAATTGTTTGCAGAAGCTGTTTTACATAATGTTTAAATACTAGTATAAGGCTGCAAAATGTTAGAGATACATCCAATAAAGGAATTGAGATAGCCTACATGATACTTTTCTGATTGCAATTCTCACGCTCTGTTTTGCCAGTCAGGCTTTGTGAACCATCTGGAGCGTTGCTCTGACAACGGGGGAGGATGTCATGGTGACATTAATGGGGGTTACCCAGGAAACTGTAGTCGCCATGGAGACTGCATCAAAAGGCGTGATCTCTCAGTCTTTCAGTTTCTGATCTCGTAGTCTCCCATGTCGTGGAGGCATCGAGTCCAACGTACTTTTTCCCCTCGATCCAAGCCACCTTTTCAGACGCTTCCTCTTTTTTTCTCCCAGAATTCAGAACCGCTGTGACGTCTCACTTTGAGGGAAATCGTGAACGCTCTATTTTTTAGGCTATGGACGTGATTTGAGTTTTACATAATCTGGAGATGACTACATTTTCGCACACCGAATAACTTGATCACAACATAAAGATATATTTGTTTTCATTTAGTATTAACCAATTTCATTTGGTACAGGCAAATCAGATTCAATAGACACACAGCTTTGATTACATTATTAACAAAACATATTGTTTTTGTTTTTTGTTTGTTTGTTTTTCCACATTCATTGCATTTAAATGAAGTCTGCACTGAGATGTATTGGTGATTCTTCAACAGGGGCACTTTTTGAAAACGGTTTAATCTATTTTAATCTATATTAATTATCATGGAATACTGATCACATGACCTTAATAACCTTGAGGTAAAAAAAAAAAAAAAGTTGTGAGCCAATTAACATAATTAATAAAAATACAAGAAACTAATTGTTTCAGAATCAAAATTGACAAACCAAATAATGTTTGGCTATGACACCTAATAGAAATCTACTCTAAGGTCATGATTTCTTCTTAATTCCTAAAATTAATGATATTCTGTCATGTATAACTTCATAACATTCATAACATTTTCTTGAAAAAACAACAACTGAATATTAGTTAATTTATTAAAAACTGACAGCAGTATTGGGGACATGTAATTCTTTGTTATCAAATATTTGTAAAAAAAAAAAATAAAATATATATATATATATATGTTTTTGTTTGTTTGTTATTAAGTTCCTTGTAAAATTTCCCTGATTTGAACGCATTTTATAAATTACTTCAGAAGAGAAGTTAAAAAGTCTGGGTAGGAGACAATTCTGGCAAATTTCACATTTCAGCACTCTTAAAATTAGGAAAAAGCAATTAAAGAGGCACTTTAATCTATTCTTTAAAACTTTTTTTTCTTTTAAAATCACCTTAGATGACATGAAAGTTCCCCTAATTGAAGATTCACCCATATATTCAACAAAATACATATGATCAACACAGCATTATCTTCAGTTTGTTCATATTAACAGCGACACATATTTGGTTGTTTCACTTTGCCACAAAACGTAAGATATTGTGAATACTAACGTATTATGATGATTATATGTTAACACTGATAACAAAATGCAGACTTACGAGCACAATATTTGCAGTGTGGGTGCTTCTTCTTTTTAGTCCCTGACCTGAACCTTATCCTTTGTGCTGTGGACAAATGCAACACGTGCATCGGAGTTTGGCACCTTTCTACCAAAAAAGCGCCCTGCGATACTTTTAGTTTAATATGCTGGCTTGTCCATAACATGTAGGGTACAACGGATCTAAAGGCCCCGCGGGGTAAAAGGCCCTTGTGATTTACATACTCCCAAAACACTAAATAGCAACAAAAACTACCACAGTACTTTATTAAAAAAACCTGTTTATCTCTATGCACTGCTAAAATGTCCTGATTCATGAGGTGTGCACTGACAAAAGACTTGATTTTGAAGTTTTTTTCTTCAGATTTCTGAATCTTAAGGCGTGCAATAACAAAATACTTATTTTGTTTTTCAGATTTATGTAGCTAATAGAAATCATTAGTTATTTGATATATCTCAAGACTTACAGATTTATGATTTTTACTGAAGGAGATTTAGATTTCAGTACCTGTTGAATAGCCAAAAATGTATTTATGTTGGTAAAGGATGACGATGCAGACTACCTGTAGAGCAACTAACTGTATTCTGTAATTATCATTTTGTTAAGTATGTGCAAAGTGGATTGATGTTAACTGCTCTAGTTACAATGTGAAATCTGACTTGTTACATTGTAACTCCATGAAATGCCATAAGTGAGTAAATAAACATAGCTACACCATTTGCTGAAGTATTTAAATGTTACTCTAAAATATCTTGCTACATCAAAAGTATTTGCATATGGTGACAGATTTTCACTCTAGCTGCCTTTGTATTGATTTATTTGTTTAATCAAAACAAACTACTATTTACTTTATGCAAATTATATATCTCCATCTATATTCAGTAAAAATATTTTTTTTCAACTGCCATTTACTTTGGGAGCCAAACAAAACAAAAAAAATCACATTTTCCCTCAAATGGAGGCTTTTAGCCCCATTGTACCCTAATAATGCAGCACCTCGCATTCGCATTCGTGCCATCATGGTGATTACTGCAAGACTGTCTGGCACTATACATGATTTACACATCTGTGAAAATCTTTTTAATATTCACGCAGTTTTGATTGTTCTGGTTGGAGTAGTTTGGCTGTTTGAAAGCACTATTTATTCCTTCCTCTATGACCATATATTCCGATTTACTGAGGGAGGACGTGCTCTGTGTCCGTTTCAGATCTTCTGTGGAGTTGAGATGCTGACAGCTGCCAACGTGGAGGTATTGTGCGTGCTCTTCCCCATCAGTCTCCCGGTGATAAAAGTAATTGAAATTGGACACAATGACAGGTACGGGCAGCGCAATGGTCAATACGCCAGCGATGGCGCACAAAGAACCCACAATTTTGCCTCCAATGGTTACTGGATGCATGTCCCCATAGCCGACTGTAGTCATGGTAACCACAGCCCACCAAAAAGCATCAGGGATGCTGCTGAAACTGGAGGTAGGGTCATCGGCCTCGGCGAAGTAGACGGCACTGGAAAACAAGATGACCCCAATGAAGAGGAAGAAGATGAGGAGTCCCAGCTCCCGCATGCTGGCTTTTAGGGTCTGGCCGAGAATCTGGAGACCTTTGGAGTGGCGTGATAGCTTGAAGATGCGAAAGACCCTCACCAGACGGATCACGCGGAGGATGGCGAGCGACATGGCTTGCTGGCCGTTGCCTTGACTCTCGGCCAGCTCCGTCCCCAGAGTGATAAAGTAAGGAATAATAGCCACGATATCAATGATATTCATGATGTTTTTGGAAAAAGTAGCCTTGCTGGGGCACGCGAAGAATCGCACGAGCAGTTCAAACGAGAACCAGATGATGCAAAGGGTTTCGATCACAAAGAAAGGGTCTGTGAAAGTGCTGGATGCACAAGGGCCAGTGCCATTTACAATAGGAGGGACAGTAGTTGGGTCCTTGTCGTCCCTAAACTCAGGCAGAGTTTCCAAACAGAAAATAACAATGGAAATCAAAATGACCAAAACAGACACAATAGCAATGCCTCTGGCAGGACCAGAGCTCTCTGGGTACTCAAACAAAAGCCAAACCTGTCTCTGAAATTCGTGGTTTGGCAACGGTCGCTCTTCTTCTTTGATAAAGCCCTCATCCTCGCGAAATTTCTCCATGGCTTCCTCGCCAAGTTGATAAAAGCGAATTTCCTCCGAGAAGATGTCAATGGGAACGTTCGCAGGTCTCCGAATGCGCCCCCCGGATTGATAGTAGTACAGGATGGCATCGAAGCTCGGTCGGTTCCTGTCAAAGAAATACTCGTTTCTGAGCGGGTCAAAGTAGCGCATCCTTTTCTTCGGGTCCCCGAGCAACGTGTCCGGGAACTGGTTGAAAGTTTTCAGCTGGGTCTCGAAGCGCAGTCCCGAGATATTGATGACCACTCGCTCGCAGCACTCGTGGTCCGGCTCGTATCGATCCAGCGACAGGTGACTGGGAAGCGCCGCGGTTTCCTCCAGCATATTATCGCACGCGACAACTGTCATGATGTCCTTCTCCGTCTCCGCATACCCGTGGTTGTCGGCGTTGGTCCCTCTGTGGCTGGCTGAGGGGGAATCAATGAGATTGTAGTGGTCATCCATATAGGTGAGGAGACGGAGCGGCAGAGGGCGACCCGCCTCCCCTACCTAACATCGGGTAAACTGAGGGTTTCTCTGTGGCGCGCTCTCTTTTGCTTTTTAACACACTGTCGCCGCCCCACGGAGCTTTATAAACACATGTCTACTCCCGCCCACGGCGAGCATATGCCCGACACATTTCCACCACTCGCCCAATCGGAGCCCAACTAGACAAGAGCGTCCATTCTCAGCGCGCGCGCGCCGCTGTGTTTTGCCTTGCGCGCGCGACGCAAATCATTCACAAAGTGGCAAAAACACTACTCACGATGTGAGGGGAGCTATACAAAGAGGTTCTGCGAGGTTCCCTTTTGTCCAAACAAAATCGTATTTTTAAATCTCTAGGGCAGTTAATTAACAGTCATCTACTTAAAAAAAAAATTTAAAACACTTTTTTTGGTGAACGTTTTTTTTTTTTTTGGTGATTATATTGGTATGTAAATCTACTGAATGGAATGCATACTGTTGCTATGGTTACCTGCTCAGGCAAACACGACTTTCCGCGTTTATTTAGTTCGCTACGGTAGTTTTACATTCTTATCAGACTTGCAAACCGACAAAACTGACATTATCGCTTGCATATGACAAATAGAATAATAAAAAAAATTCAAAACGTCTTTAAGCCATTTGTGTCTCATTAGAATCTCAGCAGAACCTTAATGACAGAAATTGTTTTAAACAAATCCCGTCTTTGTATAATTCGCATATTGCAATAAGGAACGGTAAAATGCCATACAGTGTATTGTTTACCAAAGGAATAGTGTGTTAAAAAAACAAATGATGTCATAATATTTGTGTAAACGACTTAAGTGTCTTTGTTTTGTAATTTTTTTTGCAAAAGTAGCCTATCGTGAACAATTGCTTCCCGTTTTTGTTCAACAAACTGTTTATTGCTTAAGGCTTTGTCTGAGAAAAGCGTTGATTGGCTGAACGTTCCTATGAAGACAACGGAGCTCTCCATGGTACTGAAGCGGCGCTTGAGCGAGCGCGGGAGGGAGGAAGAGACTGACCTGTATCTGCTGAACAGAACCAGATCTTCACAATTAGCCTTGATGTACCTTGATGTTTTGTGAAGTTATG